CCCCAGCCCCCAGCCCTAGGCCCCTCCTCCCAGCCTCCAGCTGCCAGGCCTCAGCCTCTCTTCCCTGTGTCCCACCTGCAGCAGCTCAAAGGCCGCCAGCAGGTCTCCAGCTGTGGCATTGCCACGGTAGATCTGGTAGTACTCGAGCTGGGGCGGGAAGCGGGGTGGGCAGTACGCCTCATCTGCCATCTTCACCAGGGGCTTGGCGAAAGTCCGGCCCATGAAGTCAGCTTTGCCCTGACACAGCAAACAACCCAGATGCCTCTTGGTGCTTGCTGTCCACACCTGTGATCTCGTTTAGTCCTTACCACAGCCACATGAGTTGTTGTAAGGGACAGGTGTGATCACCGCATTTTACAGATGGGGAAACCAAGTCTCAGGGCCCACCAAACACTTGTTCAAGGCCAAGCAGTCAGTGAATAGCAGATGTCCGGCTCAGGACTAGACATGAGGTCCTCCTACGTCTAGTCCAGGGCTATCTGGGCACCTCCGCAGCTGAGGTGGTGCGTGAGAAGGTGGCTCACTAACTCTCGGGAGTCACCCCAATCCCTGACTTCCTACTCCAGAATCTCCACAGAGGACGGCAAGGCTGTTACTGGTTGTGGTAAGTGTGGGCGGGGTTCGGGAAGCCCCGGGGTGAGGAGGCTAGTGACAGCAGGACTTGCCAGCACATCTCCAGGGCTCGGACCATTGGTGACAGGAGGTGAGGATGTCCTGGCCTGGGAAGGGGTCAGGCTGCCGCAAGCTGGCAGGAGGCACCTGGAGGGACTGGGTGTCAGCCCCCACTCCCAGCTTCCCAGTCAGCACCTGACCAAGGAACTCTGCGGGTGGGTGGCGGAGGTGGCCGGCACAGCCTCCGTGCAGGTGGAGTGCAGGGAACAAGGGCCAGGTGTGGTGCTGCTGAGGTCCCTGGCACCAGAGCCCACCCATACCATGGAATCCTGGTCGTAGATTTCAATGACAATGATGGGCGGATCGTCCCTCAGCTCATGAGCTTCGCCATAGAGCTCCAGATTGTCGAACACCAGCATCTGGTCCCAGGTGGGACACAGGGTCTCATTCAACACCTGCAGCATGGGGTGGGGAGACAGGTGACAAGTGACAGAGGGTGGGCAGATGCAAGAACAGGAGCTGCCCCTACTCACTCAACTTCCACAGAACCCGGGGGCAGGAGTGACAGATTTCTTGATTCTTCCAGAAATCTTAAAATCAAGGCCAGTATAAGGTTTGCCCCAAACCCCCTGCCAACGTCCTCCTTGTTGTCCCTGTCTTGTGAATATAACCACAACTAAAGCCCGTAGCCTTTCCAGTGTGACCCGGGTCTACAGTTATCTGCAGGGCTTCCCCTGAGAAACTAGGGCACTGGCTGACCTGTGGCTCCAGGCCCCACAGGCTCACAGGCCCCACAGGCTCCAGGCCCCACAGGCTCTAGGCCCCACAGGCTCCAGACTCCAGGCCCCACAGGCTCCAGACTCCAGGCCCCACAGGCTCCAGGCCCCAGGCCCCACAGGCTCTAGGCCCCACAGGGCTCCAGGCCCCAGGCCCCAGGCCCCACAGGCTCACAGCTCCAGGCGCCACAGGCTCATAGGCCCCACAGGCTCCAGGCCCCATAGGCTCCAGGCCCCAGGCCCCACAGGCTCTAGGCCCCACAGGCTCACAGGCCCCACAGGCTCTAGGCCCCACAGGCTCCAGGCCTCAGGCCCCACAGGGCTCCAGGCCCGAGGCCCCACAGGCTCACAGCTCCAGGCCCCACAGGCTCCAGGCCCCACAGGCTCCAGGCCCCAGGCCCCAGAGGCTCACAGGCCCCACAGGCTCCAGGCCCCAGGCCCCACAGGCTCATAGGCCCCACAGGCTCCAGGCCCCACAGGCTCACAGCTCCAGGCCCCACAGGCTCCAGGCCCCACAGGCTTCAGGCCCCAGGCCCCACAGGCTCACAGCTCCAGGCCCCA